TTGTTGCCCTTGCCCTCTTTCTTGTGCTTCACTCGGCGGTTCTGAAACCAGATCTTCACTTGTTTCTCGGACAGATTCAGATAGGTCGCGATCTCGATGCGCCGCAGGCGGGACAGGTACATGTTGGAGGCGAACTCCCGCTCTAGCTCTAAGAGCTGCGTGCTGGTGAACGCCGTCCGCATCCTTTTGCTGCTGGGCAGCTGGTTCGAGCCGCTGTCTGGAGGGGAGACACAGGGACACAGAGAGAAGACATCAAACGTCTGAGCCGTGGGCCTGATTTCCCGTGGAGCTGCAGCTAGCTTCAACCTTGGACTCTCCCACACACCCTTCCACTCACCATGATCCACAGGCGGGCACCTCCTCGCCAAACCATAGAATCCCTTATTCTCTGTTAGGTCATCCCAAACATCCCTTTATGGAACTCCTTGCAGCTGACCTCACTCCCTCCCCCACTCCCCGCCCCACAAGTCCCCAGACCTAGGATCTTCGTTCTTCACCCCGGTTCCTGCGTCCTGTCCCAGCCTACCACTGTGAGCGCCCTTCGAGGATCTAAGATAGGATCCTCACCGCCTCCATAACGCACCTTTTCCCGATCCCAGCTCTCCCATTTGCCCCCTGCGAGCTCCGGTTCTCCCACACCAGCTCGCGCAGGGACCCCGCTTACCCACGGAGATGCAGTGAAACTGCCTGGGGTCCGGTAGCGGATAGGAAGTCTGGTAGAGCGCGGCAGCTGCTGCGGCCGCGGCCGGGCCGTGGGCGACTCCAGGAGACACGGCCGAGTGCTGGCGGCCCAGAGGCGCGTGGCAGTACTGCGATCCGAAGGGAGGGAAGGACGCCTTGAGTAGCGGCAGAGCTGGCGGCCCGGGGGGCCCGTGCAGCTGCGAAGCGGTGACGCAGAGGGGACACACGCACAGCAAGCCGGCCTTGCGCGCGTGGCAGGCGCCGGGCGAGAGGCCGTGCAGCGCGTGCGGCGGGGGGACAGCGTAGGGGAAGAGCGGTGGCGGGCTGCCCTCCGGCGCCTTCTTGTCGCTGGCTTCCCGCAGCACAAGGGAGTCCACCAGGAAGGAACGCGGCATGGCGCCGGCGCGCGGTCCACCCGCCGCCAGCCAGTCCCTGGAGCCCGAGGGAACTGCGGGTCCTGCAATCGCTTTCCCTGGTCGCGGCTTCCCGCAGCTGCCCGGACCCGGGAGGCTCCACGCGCGCCTCAAGCCGGAGCTTAAGTCACCTCGGCTGCTGCTAAGGGCGCCTCCCGGAGCGCGCGAGGTGCTGGCCAGCGCTAGTGGTGCTGAAAGACGCGGGCGGCGCTGCTTAAATAGGACTATTGCCATGTGATGGGCTACGCCAGGAGCGGCCGGGGCCTCTCAAAAGGGTTTTTGTGCCCTTTCTCTTGGCATTCTCTCTGCACGCTTCCTCATTATTTCACTTGTTAACTAAATGAACTGCATAATGTACTCTATTCTTGTCAACCCCACCCACGCCGTAACAGGCGCTCTCGCCCCCTCCTCTCCCCTTTTCGGGTTTATTTTCTCATTCTCCCGCGATTTAATATTCTTTTCTTTCTCTTTATTTCTTATTCCCCTTCGGCTTTGCGCTGGCGATCGGCCCATTTATCTCATTGATTTTGCACCCGTGCTGCCTCCCTTCCACAGATCCCCGTTGACACACAACCCATCTCCTCTGCCCAATTGAACCTGGTTCCTTTCTTTCTGTTACCTCTTTCTTGAGTACACCCCCCCCCCCCGCCACCGACACAGCAAGTATACTGTTTGCTCTTAGTTCTCTCAGCTCAGCTCCGCATCCCGCGCGAGCGTACTAGAAGACGGCCATCATTCCCACCTGTGGAGTTCCTTCTCTCCTATTTGGAGAGAGAACAGGGTTTTGGGGTAGAAGATGCTCCTCAGAGGAGGGAGAAGGGCTCACTATTCTTCATTCAAGACTAACTTAGTCTCTGTCCTTCTGTTTTTTCTGAATCTTTCAAATGGTTTCAACTTTAGTGTTGCCTATGATCCCTAGTCTTTGTTCGGTGGATCGTGGTGAACCAGCCCTTTCCTTCAACAACAGGGCCTTGGATGTAAAGAAACTAAACAACAACAAAAACAACAGCACCAAAAAAGAGTGGCCGGATGACTAGACTGTGCAAACATGCACAGAAACAGAGCGTGGGGAATGAAAGCCGAGTCATCTGTATGAAGCTCTACCACCCCACAAAATGTGGTGTGTGTGGATGGTCTAGACTCGCGCAGACGTTGCGCGCGCACTCTCCACTCGCGCGCACTCCACTAGATTCCTGGGTGCCCTCGGAAGCGTTGTCTTCCCACGGCTGGAGAGAAAGAAAGGGCGGTCTTCTGTCTTTCCCGGCTTCGCTTGCCCTTTGCTTCTTCCTCCAGTCGCGTCACTCTCCCCCTCCACAATGGTTAAACAACTTCAAATGCCCCGCTCTGTGTACACATCTTCAGTTTTAAAAAATCATCCGCGGTTCAGAGCTGTTTCCGTTTCTGTGCGCTTTCCATACAATGGGGAATTAGCATAAATATTTCGAATTTACTACTTTCGATTTTACAAATCGCTGCCGTCACCTGCTCTGAGTCGTGAGACCAGGAATGGGGAGTTTTCCGAGGATGGGGGTGGGGGAAACAGTTCAAGGCTGCCCAAATCCGAGGCGTCTGCACCGGTTTGCACTGTTCATGACATCCGTGCAGTACGAGCAGCCACAAACAACTGGTTAAAAAAATTAAAGATGATTTGTTATGGGAGATAGAGTGTGCGTGAGAGCAACTGCTTCTACAATGGGAGAGTCGCAATAGGGGGAACTAACCTGCATAGAGGGCGTGCCATCTCGCCATCTAGCAGGAGTGAGGGCTCAATGGTCTCCTGGTGCTTGGCATGGAGTGTCCCCAAGCCACGGTCTCGGCCCCAAAGCGCCTGCAAACCAGCCGGTACGCATCAATGCAGCCTAATTCCCGTTCTAATTGCTCTCTGGGAAATTTGGGCTGGGCTGGGTGGCAGAGAGCGAGACTGGAAGACTGGAGAGGGGCTTCCCGCTGGGTTGAGGCGGACTGGGGAGGAGTGGGTGTGGACGCGGCTCCAGGGCTGAAGGAGAAGCCGTTGCGCCCTAGAGCTGGCAAGTCAGTGAGGTGCCAGTGCTGGGGCCCTCCTGGGAGCTGCCCAACACTCCAGGCAAGGAAGGGGTTAAGGGCCCTTGAATACAAGCAAGGCCAAAGCTACTGGGAAAGAATATGGAGGGGTGGTGGGGGGGAATAACCAGTTTCCCCCTCTCCCTCCAGCCCCTGGACCTTATTGAATGTCATTGAAGAAAGTTTTGAATGCCAGATAAAGAGAGGCGAATTAAAGTGTGTGACAGCGGAGGATAAGCAAACACAAAGAGAACTCTGTCACACTTTGGGACAAAATCCGTGGGCTTTTTACCAAGTCTCTTCGCTATGATTGAATTAAGTAATAGGAAAACATTTTCTTTCAGTTTAGAACCATTAGACAAAACCTTCAAAGCGAATAACACTTTTTAATGTGCGGCCCCACAGTGAATCGGGGTTTGCGGCGAAATGTTGAAACGATTGGTTGTGCGACTAGGAGCGGGAGGGTCCTGGCGCAGGGACCATCCTGTCCCGTGGTATTTTCACGAGTCCTGTAGAGAAGACGCTCGCGACCCGCCAGCTCCAAAGGTCGCGGTGGACTGGGGGCTCCCTGCTCGGTGCTCCTAGGCTACCGCTGCAGCCCAGCAATCACCGAATACAAAGTTCTGCGCCCGGGAGAAGCATGGGTTGCTAAGCCCGCGCCCGTTCGCGACGTATACGGTTGCCCTGTCGCCCTATCCACAGCCTCTGCCGTAGCCTGTGGTTCCCCAGTCCCTCTCGCGGTCTCTCCCGGGGCCTTTCTGCTTTTCTGCTTAAAGCGCCTGGTAGAGTTCGCTACTACTCAACTGTTCTCCGCGGAGCAAACGCCCCCTAGGGAGGGGCATGGTGGGAGCAGGCTGTCGGATTAGCCTGACAGCACCGCGGCTGGGCCCTGAGAACCCCTCGGCCCCCAGAGCCTGCTTCCAGGCTCCCAGCCGGTTTTCAAGTGTTTAACAGAGCCAGCTCAAACTGGAATCATTTCTGCAATCCGGGCCTTTTCTCCCCCGTGCACACCACACGGCCTCCCTTGTGAGATATTTGCAGAGAAAACTGCAGAAATGTGGATTTCCTTCACACACACACACACACACACACACACACACACACACACACACACACAGAGAGAGAGAGAGAGAGAGAGAGAAGCCCACCGCCTATTTAAAACACCATTCTTCTCCCCCCCACATCCTCGCACCCCCTCCCCCGCCCTCGTTGCCAGGCTGCTGGCCTTGGATGAAATTTCTAAGTTTGTTGTGCCCTTTGCTCATTGACTGTTCTGTCTCCCTCACCATCCTGAAATGCATGCTCTGGGTGAGTGAGGCTCTGCTCTATCTGCAGCAAACTCCGTCCCTCGCTTATAGTAGATGCCTAATATACATTTGTTGGATGAATACATCAATGAGAAAGAACTCATTCAGGAAGCAGGACCTGTTAGGGTTTTCTGAGGATTTTCCACCTAGACCTTGAAGAGCCTAACTGGAGTGACAGACACTGTGAGACCCTGGAGGTCAAAGGTCTTTGAATTTCCCTGTCCTTCCTCATCCCAAGGGCCTGAAACGTCAGAAGAACTCAATGTGTTCGTTAACTGAACGTCAGACAAATAAACCAATCAGTGCTCCACCCACCCACCCACCCCGCAGCCTCCACAGCAGATTCTCATAGAGACAGAATGGGTTCCATTCAAGGCAGTTCCAGCGACCTTTCTAGAGGTGGGAAATTCTCACGTCTCAGACCTTTCCTGTCATGTAAAAGGCTGGAAAGGGAAAAGACACATCTAGTCTAGGAAAGGTCAGCACGGGATCCTACCTTTTCTGGCAGAGGCCAGTGAGAACTCCTGCAGTACAGAAACTGCTTCCTGAGCAGCTGGTGTCTAGACGACTGGTCCAGGGGCTTGTGAGCTTTTCCAATGAGTGGAGAGGCAGAGCGCACCTGGGATCCCAGGGAAGGCTGCCTGGAGCCAGGAGAAGACCTTAGGAGGGCGTGGTCACATCCATCACACATGGGTGTGCATAGGAAGCAGAGGCCAAGTCATGGGAGACCAGGCTAACACCCCCGCATTTCTGCTCATGTTCCAAGGTTTATTTATTTAGGCAGTTTGTTTTTGTTTTTGTTTTTTGAGACAGTCTCTCTATGTAGCTACTCCTGTCCTGAAACTGGCTATGTGTAAACCATGCTGGCCTCAAACTCGCAAAGACCCACCTACCTTTGACTCCTGAGAACTTAGATTAAAGGAGTACACCGTCATGCCCGGTTCCCAAGATTTTGTTTTGTTGGTTTTGGAAGACAAGGGTTTCTCTGTGTACCCCTGGTTGACCTGGGACTAGTTCTACAGACCATGCTGGCCTTGAACTCAGAACTTTGCCTGTCTCTGCCTCCTGGACCACTGGGATTAAAGGCATGTGCCACTACTCCTGGCTAATTTTGTTTGTTTGTTTTTGGCTTTAACTGTATATGTGTTTTGCCTTCATGCATGTCTGTGCACCAAATACATGATGGTGCTCTCGAAGGTCAAAAGAGGGCATCAGAACTGGAGTTACAGAGGGTTGGGAGCCACCATGTGGGCGCTGGGAATAGAACCTGGGTCCTCTGTGACCCGGGTTCTATGTTAACACGTCCTTAAACACTGAGTCATCTCTACAGCACCTTGTGCCAAAATTTTTAAGCCAGGGGAGTAACCAAGTCAGCTGTGAGGCTGAGAAATGTGAGCCAGGGTCTATTAGTGGAGACAAAAAGAGCCCAACAAATTAGTCTGCAAATTAGTGAGTGAACAGGAAGAAGAAAGAAGGAGAAGACCGGGCTAGGCCAAGGGATGAGTGATGACCACCTGAGGTGGGATGGGGCAGCAGGACCAGAGAAAGGAACTCCTCAGAGAAACTAAGGGGAATCAAAGGCTAGGGTGGATGAGGGATGGATGTTGGAGGCATGCAAGTGCATAGGTGTACACA